AGAAGTTTTGGTTCAAAGGTTAAAATTTCCTCTTTCACTTACAGACTAGGCCTTAGACACAAGACACACACAAAAAACAAACAAAAAACAACAACAACAACAACAAAAGAAGTATCCATCTATGGCCTCTGGATTGTACCCAGCCCACCAGAACAATTCATCTGGCCCAATCCTTGCTCTGGAAGTCATGACACAGGGCATAGAGTTGGGCACAGAGATTAATTGCTCCAGGTGCTTTCATCAGATGCTGCCAAAGGACCCCCACTCTCCCCTCACCCCCATCATGTAACTTGAGCGGTGTCCATCATATCATTAAATGGCAAGTACTCCCCATCACAGAAAATACATCTTAATCACATGAAAGCACATATGAAGGTTGTTCACGTGACAAGGTTTCTTGTAAACTTGTCAGGTACACGTCAGTCGCATATCACCCCAGCATGGCTCCTCCTGGTGAGGAGAGGAGTCTGCATCTACATGGCACTGAAGAGTTTGACCCTTGAGTTCCTCCATTAGATGCTACGGGGTTTACTTAAGGCAACGTGACACTTAATTGGCTTCAGAAAAGAGGAAGAAAGTTCGAGAGTTACCATCTACTTGTGATTGAGTTTGAAGAAATTATGCCATTCAAAAGGCTTGTTTGAGCCTGGCCTGTTTTTCTCAAGTTTCACACTCTTAAACTGCTGAGGTTGAATCTCATGCTAACAGTGTTTAGGAGCCTATTTTTTGAAGACTAATTTTCAGTATCATTCTTCATCTCCAAAATTGGGTAGGTCTTTAAAAATAAACTTCATAGGAATACAGTGAAGCGGAAACAGTGCAGAAGCATAAAAATAGACTCAGGAGTCCAATAACAAACTATAAGTTGTTCATTTCCATCACACGCTGACTTGCAACACCACGTCTGCTTTTACTAAATAAAGGAGTTCAGAACATTTAGGGACAGGTTCATTCATTCTAACCTGAGAGCATTTTACCTTGCTCCCAAGACAAGGATATCGCAGGATACTATGGTGTAAGTCACCTGTCTTGGCTTAGACAGACTCCAGTACTATCTCGCTGTGGCTGATAGAAGGGGTGAGTGAGGTTGTCCAAAGCCCTTGAGAACTCAAGGCAGATCTCAAACAAGCTTGTGTCCTACTCATGGGATGTCTACTGCAGAACTGCACTCCTCCTTATGGAAACACATTAAGTTTATATCAGAAAGTTATAGGCAACAAGAAGAAAGAGTTGAAATGGGGTGGGGAGGGGGACGAGGGTAAAAAGAGCTTGAATAATACCATAGCTAAAACCAAACCAAGTGATAGAGGAGCACACGCTGCACCTGCAGGCACTACAGGCTCACTCCTGCCACCCCCAGCCCTGTAAATTAGCTTGATAACCAGGATTTTTTGTGGGAATTAACACAGTTCAGATGACTTAGCTAACCTCCAAAATTCATTTAATGCTTACTGTAATCAATATATTGACCAGTCACACCCACCGCATGACTCCAAAAAAGTAAATATAATTACACAAACTAATAACTTAGAAAAGCATATAGTCCACGTTTGCTACAGTAAAGATGTATTGGTTGTGGTGAAGAAATACATAATATGAATTAATACATCCAAAATCATTTGATCATAATGATAGGAGTTGCCTTTGATCCAAGACAACTGGAAAAGTGCTTTTGACTGAAAAGAAAAAAACAACCCACCACCAAGAATTCTAATTAGCATGAGTAATATATGAACTGATTCAAGAAAACCCACTTTTAATTCTGTGGTCAGAAATTGGTCACACACATACATGTCAAACAAGGACTTCCAATTATGTGCAATTTATCTTTATTTTACCAAACTTTACTATTAATATGCCTAATTTCTAGCACTATCAGATAGTAAAATCCCCATGTTCTATAGGAAACCCAGTGTCACAGCCCAACTTGCTCCCTTCTAGAACCCCTCTAGGACAATTCCATCACATTACTGGAGAAGAAAAAATAAATTAAAAAAAAAAAAAAATCAAATGCACGTAACCGTCCAGTGAATAATGCAGCATCAACAGCCCATAAAATGAAACCCTCATTTAAAAGTATAGTATCACCTTGTTTGTTTTCCTTAACAGCCTCAACTTTTCAGCTCTGTATTTTTCTTGTTTTCAGGGGACGTATACAGACGGGACCTCAACTATGAAAAGCCAGTGCAGCCAGCTGTATGCCATTCAAGGGCAGGCAAAAGTACAGGGCTAACAGGCACAAGAGAAGGATCTCCCCTTCAAATTATTAGAAGATCCAAAGCAGGCTGCAAATGGTGAGGTATGCACCAGAAAGAACTGTAGGGTTGAGGTATCAGGCATCTTCTTTCCCAGTTTGCACACCCTTCCTCCCTGGGCTAAGTAAAAATTTTTAATTTTAGGAGACTGGCAAATTTACCAGATTAGGCAAAGGCTCTTTGAAAAAAGTTCAAGTTTAAAATAAAACTTTTCCTTGAGCTCTAGCAATTGTATTGTTGACAACAGAATTTCTAGCACAATAGTGGCAATGCAGTACAGACTTTTTTTAAACACTAACTGGGTTAAGAAATCAAAGCCTATCATTTAGCTATGGAGATAAAATGTGTAGTCTTTATGTTAAGAAACAATGCTTACAGATTACATGCTACAGTCAGGCTATTGCCCTGCATTCTTTGTGTACCACAAACTCACAGGGAAGCTGAGATTCTGTTATCTCTGGTAAATCAGCACTGATTAGACAGTATATGCGCAGAAAAAAAAAAAAAAACAAAACCAAAACACATTCATAATAAGGCAAAAGAAAATTCTAGATTAGTCTTTTATAAGCAAAACTAAAAATTTTAAGGACATGACTGTTTTATATGTCAGGTTGGAAAGCAGAGTCTAACAGCCATATCAGCTTCTAACAGACTAGAACAGCCATATTAACTTGTGTTCTGCACAGCAGGAGACCAGAACAGAAATCATCCTCTAGTCATGGAAAGGATTGCAAGATAGCCAAGCCTTTATAACAGTACCTGTGGGCTCACCCTGTACACCTGTCCTGGAAGAGCAAAGACTCAAGTCTTAGCATAAGCATAACTGGAGAAAAAGCCATAAAGAAATAACAGTTCAAGGTACAATCAACATTATCAGTCACTTACATACTCATAACACTAACCTGTAACCCTTCCAAAAAAGTAGATTGCTCCCTTGAGTGCTTTCAAGATCCTCAAACCTGTAAGCACACTACCACATTTATCACAGAGGTATTAATTAAACAGTGGAATAGAACTGTTCACATCTTATTTTACCTAGCTTTCAAGCTGGGTGAAGCTGTGTGTGCTCTGTTGTTGCTGTTGTTAAAAAAAAATTAAAAAAACAGAAAAAAAAAAAAGAGAAAGAGAAGTTTCTCCAAAGCATGTGTGTAAATGGCTAAGCATCATACAAGACTGACTGACAGCAATTCTGACCACGAATCAAAACAGTTTTGTTAAGCCTCCATCATTGCTACCCGAGAAAACTACTATTTTTCCTTTTGCTTTAATCAAATCTTAGAAATAAACCTAGGATGAAACTGTTCTTATGTAATTTGTTGACTTATCACCAAAAGCAGTATTTATTAACATTCCTCAGGAGTGTCCGAGATACTATACTAAACTGCATGCTGTATAATCAAGAAGCTTAGCATAAACTCATGGCACTAATACCTCTCTGTACAAGGCGAACACTACTATAAACATACTTCTTCTTGTCTCTTACTAGCTGCCAACAGAGTGACAAGTAACAAACTCTTCAGGAGCACATCTATCCTTTTAAGCAGAAATGGGAGCTAACAGAACAACACAACCAGGAGACTGAAAACAGTAATGATCTATGGTAGGAGAGCAAAGAGGAAGAAAAATGGAAGTGGGTGGACAGCAGCTGAGCAGCGATAGCAAATGGAAGGGGTGGGAAGGCAAAAAAAGAGCAGATGAATAGGGAAGGAGACAAATGAGATGTGAAAAGAGACAGAAGACAAAATTACCAAGAGTTAGTCTAAAACAGCGGTTCTTAAATCATGGCTCAGCCAAAGGAAATTACAAAGCCTGACAGGAAGAGTAAATTACAATGCTGCTGTCAGTGTCTTACTTCTTGAGCAGTGTTGCCAAGAGTCAGCCATGGCTGGAAACCCCACCTAGGTGTCTCATGAATAAAAGGAGCGATGCAGCAGAGAGTAAGCATATGGGAATAGGAAAAAGCAGGAAAGGAGGATCACCGTGGAGCTCAACTGGAAATGAGATCCGAGCCTTTATTAACTGGTCCACGCACTAAGATAGCTACCACACAGGTCACACTGAATCCAAAGCACTATGAAAGCTGGAAAGCATTTTGTTAAACAGAGCCCCAAAACCTTTTCAGGAGTTGAGGTGAGCTCCTGTGCAAAGATACACAAATTACATAAAAATGAAATCTATGGTGGACACAAAGGTTTCATCCAGCATTCTTCAAAAACTCCTGAAATTGTAACTGATGAAGAAAGAAAACTCTAGATAGGCAATACATGCAATGAAAGGAGAACTGTGATGTCTAGGGAAGTGCTCCAAGGTACAACTGCGATGCTTTAGCTTATTTTAATTCATTAAAGACATTTGCCACATGAAATCATATGCTGCCCTTATAATCTGTAATATCTTGGTCTGTATAATCAGTCCAATCAGAATCAGTGTGCAACGGGAAAGAAAGTTTCCTAAAGATATCCATCCTAACTGACCTTCACCAAAACACAACTAAATATAGAACAGACTGCACGTATGGATGGACACAGCCTCCTCCTCTCCCCTGAGTTAACTCAATAATGCAAGTAAGAATTAAATCATGTTTTACAGGTTTTTATCATTGAGTAAGTGTAGCATCAGCCTTCCATTAGGCTGACTTACACTGCATCGTTAGCTCCGAGGGAACCTGGGAGGAAGTTAAAGCCCATTTTTACCAAGAAACACTACCAAAAACACAGAAAATGTTTGTATAAGCTGAAAACGTACCGTGACTGTCTCGTCTGTACTTCTTTTTCTTTGTACTGGAGCAACAGGAAATTCAAGAAGGGATTTTACTGTCTTCCTTTTGGCTTTTTCCATTTGAATATTAGTAAAATAGTTGACAGCAGCAAACTCAATAAGAGCAGAGAACACAAAGGCAAAGCAGACCGCTATGAACCAGTCCATGGCAGTAGCATAGGATACTTTTGGCAGTGAATGTCTTGCACTGATGCTCAGTGTCGTCATTGTCAATACTGTGGTTATTCCTTCAAAGAAATAAAGCAAAAGCACTGCTGAATCCGAGTAAAACAAAGTCAGAATAAGCAAGCAGCTTTAAACAAAGAATTTTAAATCACTTAGGAGTCTTTCTCTGCTGCTTGTGAATAGTGCATTAGATTTAAGGCATGGCAACCATCATATAACTATGAGCAGCTATGCACACAAAACAGTTAACCAGTTTTTAAAGGAGGCATGGAAAGCCATGACTTCAGCAGATCATCTACAGTTCACGTGAAGAAAACATGGAAGCCTTCATTTCATATCTTTTCATGTCAAGTTCAATAGAATTTCTTACAAGTTATTTTCTAAACATTTGAACATCATTTAAGTTGTTAAATAAGGGAGTGCTCCTCAGACTGCAACAAAAACATGATTTTTCCTGTAATGGGTTCAGAATGCCACCTATTAGTCTGCATCTGTTGCTTTGATCCCACTCGTAATCCAGGCGCCATTAAGTCATGACAAATTATTTTGGTGCTAAGGAAAACTAGAATATTATGTTAACAACTCTGTTAATTAAGAAACCATCACCTTATCTTTTAAACCCTTCTGCTACTAGTCAACCAATGAAATTTAATTAGAATTTCATCTTCTGAAAGAACAACTTTTTAATTAAAGTATACAAGCATGAACACTGAACTCAAAATATGACCACTTCATGGTAATACTTCAAATGCAAATACATGCTGTATAAAACCAAGGTGTGGTTTCATATTTATATTTTTTTGTTTTTCATCCAAAATATCCCATATCGTACAAATGTAAAATACCGCAGAAGTCCTACCGTAATAACCTCAAGGAAGGCTGACTACAAATGAAGATGTCTTTACTCTTATGAAAGGAACACTGTACCCACTTTAATTCAAGATGAAATGCATATGCTCGGAAGAATTCAAAATAATTAAGAGCATGTTTTCCAACAGGATCCTCACATCCCCTATTTCCTAAATGGTGGTATTCCATCTGAGTAATCTCATATGAAAAAGCTTCACCTAGACACTGCCATACAGAGAACTGGACACAATGAAACCAGTCCTTCCTATTGAAGAAGAAAAAAAGAAAAAAAAGAGAAATAGCCAGTTCATGAAAACACAAAAAGTATCTCAGAGCAAACTCAGCAGGATAAAAAAAAAAAAAAAAAAAAAAAAACAACACCAGATGCAAGCTCACAAAACCTTCTTCAGTGGGAAGGTGTTGAAAAACACACCAGTGAAAATGTTTAAGTCTGAGAAAAAAAAATAAATTATGGAAAGTTATTTTTTTCCTGGAAAAGACCCATCCCTGCTTAGCCCTGTCCTTCCTGATTCTACCTTTGTCCACTTCAAGCAAGTAGTTTGTCTGAATATTCTTTCTAAAGACATTTGTTTAATAGACGTAAGAATAGGGTAAAGTGACTTCAATGACCAACCATTCCCCAAATACAAGGAGGAGAGGGGAGGCCATGATAGTATTATAGTTTACTACCACGGTCTTAATCAGATTTCCCCCTGTTAAATGATTCTTCTGGGAGACTTGCAGTTGCCACTGCAACTGCCCTTGGACACGTGCTACAGGGATTTACAGGGCAGGCAATTAAGTTCTGGTAAAAAATATTACATATGCACATGAACTGTAATTATCCAGAGCTAAATACTTACAAGCTTCTGATTAGCAATGCACATAACCATATAAAAATATATTAAGAGTATTTTAATATAAAAATTAATATTAAAAACCTGTTTTAAAATTATTGCTGTCGCTCCTCTAAGAAACACCAATCATCTCCCACAATCACCAGATTCAGGTGTCTGAAACTGTGACTGCAGAAATCACGACCTGATGTACCTTAGTTCCTTGTGTATCCTTCCTCTGTTACGTTTGCCAAGTTCTCCCTAACCATGCACTGTCCAATGGAAAGATCTTTTGGTTAGCCTCTTCTGACAGTTCCTCTAGAAAGCTGGTACCATAGCAGATATTCTGGCTTCATTCCTATCTCTTGCCTGCAACATTTCTGTCTCCTTTTAAGAAAACCTTTAGAAAACATAGTCCTTGTTGGAATTTGTCAGAAAACTAAAAAGATACTTTTAGCCATACTTTAAGCCACTTGCTTTCAAAGGCTTATCTATAACTTCGTGGATGTTCAAACTTTATTATTATCATTTGTTTTCAGTTTCACATATGAATATAATGACACATAATACATCTATTGCTCTATAATTTGCACATTTTCAATTATCACATTTTGTCTGTAAATACAGATTCTACCTTTCCAGTTCATGGCAATACTCCCTTTGAAAAAAGTACCATTACTCAACATCACTGCAAAGGCATGTGAAGCGATATACTAGTTTGCCTAATGTAATGCCTGAGTTGAGAGCTAGCTAGACTAAGTTTACAGGTTGTTTCTCCTATAACGAATCATTAACTTTGTCTAATTTGTGATACCAAACAGTGTTCTGACTCCACTTACATGTTTGAATGGGCCGTCACGTAGAAACATTAATTCCTATCACTCTTGCCAGCATCTATCTATCTATAGAAAGGCTTTTTGTAGAACATTCTCTTCCTGATTAGTCCTGCTTTAGATTACAGTACATTATAAAGTCAAGACATTGCTCTATAAAGACTGCTTTTAAAAATGTTTTTATCCTACTTCTTTGTTAGGAATCGTATTTCCATTTAATTTCTTATGCTTTGTCTTCCATAGAAGCTTTTTTGTTTTTTTATTTTCAGAGTTCACTGTAGCATCTCATTCAAGCTGTATTTTGATGAGGGCAATTTTAATATCTTGCTATCATTTTGCTTTTTTAATTCATTTTCATAATGGCAATGGCAGAAAGGAGAGAAGAGCACTAAACATGAAATTACAGTAACAGGATCTAAACCTTACTCATAGCAAGCTTCCACTGATGACACAGATACCTTGTAAGAAGACATCTATACATCTTGCACACTCCCAATCAAATTCTTTTAAAAGGATTTTAGGTGCGAGTTCAAGTAATTACACTACTGTCCGCTGGAGGATAAAACTGCTCTGGATGTAGGCTAAGGACTGACGGGGTTACTCAGGGCCAGGTCTTCCCAATTTCCTCCCCCAAGCAGGTAGAATCCCCACAGATGTGCATCCATGTGCCACAGGCAATCATGTCACCCTTCTGGTTAAATATTCCAAGTTTCTCTTCAGATTCCAAGGATTCACATAATACATTCTTCATACATTGATAGCAAAAATTCCTCTGAATTTACCTTATTCCCTTGCTTCTGCACTAGCACAGAGGCAGTATACCCCCAAGCACTAAAAAGGCCTATTCCAGTGGAAGTCATTAGAAGAGGAAGTACTAGAAAAAGTAAAAAAAGATATAATTACCAAACACAGTTCTAGCTGGAACGGACTCCTTATTTATCCAAAATGAAACTTGAGAAAGGATCACGGTCATAATGCATGGGATATAGGTCTGAATCATAAAATAACCCATTTTCCGTCTGAGGTGGAAGTAAACTGTCATAACAATATATTCACCTAAAAAAAAATAGAAAAGAAAATATTTTTCTGACACTGCATAAAATTTTTGTGTTGCAGAATAACTGTTTCAACTATCAACTAGGATTGTTTAAGATGATGGTATTCATACCACTTAATGTGTATAGAACGACATGTTCCTTAGAGACAAGACTGAATGAAAGTTTTAAACAAAAGATCCTGGAAGCAGTAGGTCCTGACAGTGCCATTCTGAAGCTGCTATCAAAAATACTATAAATGTACGCCTAATACTGGATCACTTTTTACAGTACAGGTATGATTTAAAAAAAATTCTTTTGGCTTGTGTTGAAGAAAAGAGTCCCAAAACACAAGCTATCTACCCACCATAGCATCCAGAACATTGTGGTACCTACCTGCCAAATAGAACAATAACAACAATGGTGCACATCAAATTACATGGAAGCATCTCAGCTTTTTACTAGGTTTATACATCAGCACCACTATGATAATGAAACAAATGCAAAAATCATTGACGAGAATTAAAAATACTGTAAGTTTATCTAAAATGTTATCATTCATATCAAACAAAAAAAAAAACTGCAGTTTTACCGTAAACTGAATAAACTGTCTAAATAATGCACTACAGAAGGAGCATTTTGGGGACAGTAAGGAAATTCTGTTGTTAACTCATAATAATCAATATGCTGAGAAGTAAATTTCTAGTGTATTGCAAACCGCTGCTTTATCTTTGAGAAAAATATCCAGAGAGCAACACATCAAATATATTTGCTTTATCTGTTTCATTTTGACCATCTCACAACACACAAACTTGCTGATGCTTAGAAAATGATTCCAAATTTTAAAAATATTTTGGGAATATGCTTGTTTATCACCACACTGCTCATCAGTGATACTTCACTCATTTCAGATGCCTGTAGTTGCTATTTGCCTTATTTCTTACAGCACAAATCAGCAGAAGTATCTATTGTGACTAATGCATTTGTGCCTATCCTTATCTGACTAGAGGGTTTTTATGGCTTTAATAACCCATTCTGTATGCTGTACTTCTATCCCGAGCTGTTTGCACCACCAAACAAAGGAAGTCTTTTGCACATAATGTGGATACAGTGCTGAGAAATTACTTCCTCACCCAGGCATCCTCTTGACTCTTCAAACTGCATTTTAAGCAGTGATTAAATGCTCATTTTGTCCCTCGGAGTAATGATCTCATTCTAGCTTTCTGAAAGACCGTCGCAATCTACTGTAATGAATCTGCAAATGTAAATCTGAAGGACAGAAACCTAATTCAAATTTATGCTCTCAGCCCTTAATATATACCCTATGACATTCAGTAGAATACTTTACAGGAAGGAAAAAAAAAAAGCCTTGGGCAAGGTTACAGGGTTAGTTTTACCTGAAGTTGATTTTTACTGATGAGATTCCTACCTGTAATAGATTTAATGGTTTCAGTGGATACCGTATGCCCAAGCAGGTCATACTGAACTAAACTGGAAGACTCCTCAGGAACTTCCACTGACTTCTCAGGTCCTTTTGTCCAGGTATAAATCATTTCACTCTTTGGATAAGCATCTACAACACATCATCAGTTTGCATAAATAGGAAACTTCTTCTCACACGTTACTAAGATCCCAATCCAAACCTACTGAAATCAAACGGCAAGACTCACACTAACAACTTTAGAAGATACTCTTCATGTTAAGTTACCCCCAAAAGCCACCCTCAGAGGAGAATAAATAGGAGCTAAGGTCATATGTCAACTGTCACACACAAATTCACTTCACATTTGAATGTGAAGTCTAAACACAAGTTCTTTTTGGATCAGCCCTTATTGGGCATGTAAAGTTTATCTTTAAGTTAGTTTAGAAATGTCTATCTAAAATTTTATCATTAAAATATACTAATATATAAAAAAGAGCATGTATAAGGAGGATACATTTTGGAGACTGGGTGCACATTTCTTCACAGAAAAGAATTATTATAATAAAAACTATATTATACTAAAAACTGTAATATTTTAAACTTGTGTTTAAAATATTTGCCAGAAACCAGAGGTCAGTAAAATACTCACAATAGCCCAAAAATAAGCACATCCAAAGTATTTTACATTTAATACAAAAGACACAGGGCTAGTATTCAATCCCTACACAGCCCAAACTCCTGTTAAAATTAAATTAAATCAGTCTTGTATTTGAAATGGCTACATCTTATTTTAAGTTTCACTGAGGAAGATATCAGATTAGTGTCAAGTGCAATTTCTGCTGGTTGGTGATTCTGCCTGAAGAAATACACCTGTGGAGAAGCCCCCACTATTGAAGCTCCCCTATCATACAGCTGATACCAAAGCCAATTCTGGCAGCACCTGATCTCCAGTCTCACCGTAACAGGAATGAAAAACCCTTATCAGAGCAGTGTCTTTAATATCCCCCTTTAAGCTAAATTTATGCTAAGGAAAGACTATGAGCAGCTTTCAGCCTTCTAACTTCAGAGCTCTGGGGTAAAGGAAAACAGATTAATGTCCAGCCACTGACTACATCGGAGTGTAAAGCAGAGAAGTCAGGAACTAAGGAGGCTTACAAAAGTGACAACATAGTTAATGGCATGCACCAACCATCCCCAGGTGGTCTGAGAGGTCTCTGCTGCAGATTCAAATCAGGGAATCACAACTACCTCCCTTGGTTGTTATGCAATATGTCCGAAAACATTCCTTCTAGACAAAGTTTGGAGATTATCCAAAAAAATCTACATCTGATTTCAAAGCAGAAAAGGAAAGTCACCTGCACCAAGATTCCTCTCACCAGTCTACAAATTATTTATCTAGACTAAACTTGCCATGCAGACTCCCGTTATAGGCCAGGAGATAGAGGAGATAGACAAATACAACTAAAGATCAAATCTTTACTCGTAACCTACACATCTAACTTAGGATGTCAATGTGGCTCCACTGACTGTAGAGAAAGTCAAATAACCTGCTTCCCTAGGTGCCTTTTACCTAGCTGTTGGAAGGTGAGATGGATCCCACCCTCTTTGTCTTCTCCAGAGTATCTCTGACTTCACTGAGTATCCAATTCCTCCCTAAGAACCAAGAATAACTACATATTTCAAGCAACTGTGTAGCCATAATAGTGGGGTTTAACATAACAGCTGAATCACTGCCTGCTTTTCAATTCTCTGCCTGGCTCTAATTTTTCAGGCCCTAAATAAAATTCCCAAGGAACTTAACAGGAGTTTTGTCTGCATAAGGATTGTGTATCAAGACTAATATTCAGAAAGTTTAATAATTGTTCAAAATCTACTTCTACTATTTAAATTCTGTAGTTACAAGAAATTTCATAATTGCAACTTACAACTCCCAAATTTGAGAGGACAAGCATGACCATCCATGGGAAAATCCACTAATCTCATGGGACACTCTGCACTTATTGTAAGCCTATAATGGAACAAATTAAATAGTCTCTGGTTGCCATTTTGTCTAGGCAGTATAACTTTTTGCATACAGTAATTTTAAGAAGCTGAACAAACAAGTTAGATACCTCATTGTGTACAGGATGGTGCCATTTCTCATTATTCTGAAGAGTTTATTTGGGGCTGTCATATTATGTGCAACAGACTTTTTCCCATTCCTGAAGAAAGTGTCAGGAGTCCACACCTTTGAAACCATCAAGTTATTAAGTCTTAAAATTTCAATAGGGCCATCATATTTTAACCTTTTGTCTACCCATGTCTGACGGAAGAAGACATCCATTGTATATTCCTGTATTAAATTGCAGAAAAACAAAGATCACATTTGCATGTATAAGTGTTTCCTGTAAAAAAAGAAATCCCTCAGGAGCAAAGAAATCAGTAGTAAAGAAAATGCTAAGTCCACTACACAAACATATTTCCACCAATTAAAGTGTGCTGTGTACTTCTTAATAACTTAGTTTTCCACATTAGTCATATCAATAAATTGTTACACATATTTAATCGTTAAGGAATAATTAATCTAATTAGGTTGCAGGAAGCAGGCAATTGAATTTGTAGTCAAGCATATAACTGGAAACAAAATGATCTCTCACAATAAGTGTCAACAGATTTTTAAAGAGAAGATATCCATGGATTTTCTGCTGCTGGCTAAATTAAAAACACCAGGACAAACAATTACTTCCACTTTAAAGTCAGGAAAGAAAATTTAATTTCAACTGATGGAAAGTAAGCTTTTAAATGAGGAAAGCTAAATATTTCCTTTGCCATGCCCACAAAACATGGATAAATGCACATATATACACATTTGTTTTTAACTATGTAACTATCCCATTAGCTTCCTCAGAAAAGCCATTGAGATGCTCCAAAGAAAACATGCAAACAACAACTGCAGAATCGGAGACATAGGCACATCATGAGAAATCACAGGTGAATGAATGGATGAAGGAATGCATTTCTCATCTTTGGAAGCTAAAGCACTTCACAAAAAAGCATCATGTGGCATTGAAAAAGGTAACACGGAAAGCTTTAAGTCCTTTCTAACTTACAGTTGTGATTTTGTTGTTAAGCCAAACAATGTTTTCTGACTTTATTTCAAACTCTTCTGCATAACGTTACCATTGAAACTACTTGTATGGCCATATCTATTTGCATGGGTAAGGAGGCATGTCTACTAGTGCAATGCATCTTAGAATTATATGTCTTCTTTTCCATGGCTGCATCCTCCGCTGTGGTTTATAGTTAATCTATGAAAAGTCTCTTTTCTAGTGTCATTTCTTGCTGGTGACTTCATAGCTCATAACTAGCAGTTTCTGTTATTAGCTTCTACATGACAGATTTTGTAATATGAGATTTCAATCCTTTTCATTACACTGGGTACCAAAGTCACCCCAGCTCTAAAAAGACATTCTGATCATCCCCTGTACTGAGACTATATCACGCTTTGCTGTTTCAGTGAGTTTTAGAAGTGCAGCCACATTCAGATTACATTGGGCCACTAATGGATACATTAACTAAAAATCATCCCAAAACCAATTTCTGGATCCCTGAATAGCCTTCTAACTAATCCCTAATGATGAAAGGGGAAACATCTCCTGTAAACTCTCCTTTTGCCAGTTCCTTACCTACCTTCAGCCCATGTTCTCACTCCTGCCTTCTCCAATATAACTAACAATTTCCCATGTGGCACCATGTCAAATGCTTCACTGAAACCTGAGAGATGCCATGCAGCCCTCATTTTAGATTTGAGGCACACATTACCAGATTTCCTTCGGACCAGATTCTTGTACCCCTCGTCACACTGAACAGCATAATACTATACATGACAACCACCGAAGGGGTAAGATGCATTTCAACAGGAGACTGCTGTCACGAACCTAGCCCCTGAAAAAATATCTTGCTATCACATACCTTTACACATCATAGGACCAAATCAGGTGCACCACAAAGTGCATGACAGCACTGTATGGGAAGAAAGTTAGTACCCGGAAACTGCCTTTCCCTTAAAGAACTTCAGTACAAACATATAATGTACATACGGCTGTTACTTCCATGTGATTTCTTGGATATTTTATAAAAAAGAGAAACTATTGTGTGATTTAAGGGTATACCACTAGATTATAGAAGTTGATGAGAGTTATGCTGGATTTGACCTCAAATGAATGCAGATGCCGTTCAGGCACAAATAACAGTACATGCAAATGCAACATTTCTCTTCTGTGACTATTTCATGCATGTCACTTTGACGTTCAATTTCTGCAGACATTTATGAAAGCTCTTCTCAGTCAAACATTTGCTGAAAGTGATGCTAAAAGGGGCACAAAGATCAGCAAAGGGCATTCATCTGAAATGAAAACGTCAACAAGTATTTGTGAAATGATGTCATTATTATTCACCTGAGAATAACACAAGTTTCAGAAAGGAAAAGCAATTTCAAAGATATTACACATTTTCCCCACAGTAGACTGACTTAGACACTCCTTGCAAGGCCTGATTCTGGCTCTACACCATGAAAGTCTGTTTTAAATCCTATGAAGTGAATTCCTTAAGCCAGCCAAAAACCAGTGAAAGTGTGACCAGAATCAGGCCTGATGTATCTAATTATAACCTGTAAATTAAGCTGTTACTAATCTTGCCTACTTTGCATGATTGACAGAACAGTACAGATGAAGCATCCATTCCTTACTGCAGTTAATGGTTTCTCAGAACCAGGAAATGGCATTTTAATCCCAGAAATACATACCATTTCTACGTCAGAAACAGGTCCAAAACTGGTGACATATATATCCGTTTTGACTTCAGTAACAGGACCTAATGTATGAAAAGGAAGTGAGCAAGAAAATTTGAATTTTGCAGGTCAACAATTCCCATAAATGATCCTGGCACGTGAACAATTATCACTTTGAGGGTTCTGTGGATGAGCAAGAGCAAAATGCAAATACAGGTCATTTCAGATAAGTCTCTAATAACAAACAGTGCTCAATTACCTTTACCACATAAGTAAAAGCAGCATTTCCATGCAAATCCTCATTCAGAAAACCAATGTTGATTCAACAGATAAGAAAACAGATGCCAAAAAATTAAAAGGCTCACTGAAAACACCATGCTAATTAACAACAAGCACCGAATTCGGGAAATCCACATTCCTCAAGGCATTTATTATTACCAATAGGACCAAATGTTAGTAACTGGACTACAGATATTAGCATGCCATGCACTGGGCAATTTAGTACTGCAGTATCAAGAACCACTTCCATATCCTGAGATGCACTTAATTGCTTTAATACTAACAATCAAAATAAAAGTTGGGTATCTAAGCATTTTTGAGGGTCTGAACCTAGGTCCAGATGCTACTACAAAGCCTGTCTTGAAAGACCTAGTGATAGTTAGGACACTGTTCAAAACAATGCATTGAGCAGAGGTCTTGTGCTCTCACGGCTGGGTACCACATAGCAACCATCAGAGAACGCAGTTTTGGTTTAATGTATCATTTCCTTTACTACAGGACAAAACACCTTGAAATTTCAGATGGCCATTCACTCTACAGTACACTCTACCATTCCCCTTAAACCAAAGAACACATGCACTAATTTCACCGGGATTTAGGTTTGTTCCCAATGCAAAAGGCTAGAAAGCTGCTAATCATTACCAGTTATGATGATGATTCTGTGATCAAAGCATTAGCTAACAGTTTAATTCAGGTACTTAACTCACACTGTAAATTTAAAAAAAAAAAAAGTATAATCTACAAATTCACAACCACAGTTTCTAAACCCCTACAACTCAAATTTCTAAAGAGGATAAGTGGCTCAAGTCTGTTAATTCAGGCTTTGTCATACTATTTGCAGCCTAAAAATGAAAGAAGGAAAAACTTAAGACTGTTAGCAGCAGAATATGTCCCTCTTGGAAAGGAAAAAAAAAAAAAAAATCACTGTTCACGGATGTCACTTTGAATCAAATGTTAAAAGGAGAAAAAGCAACAAGCAACTGGAAAACAGGGAACCTATACTTCTTGCACCTAGAACAAGTGTCAAACTGTGAACAGAAAGTAAAATAAAACCATGTAAAATTATTTCACTAAACAGTTTGCAAGTTATGTAGAGAAGAACAGCTAAGAATTTTTCAGCTAAATGTCAAAAAAACGACTTTGCTGGAAGTTAACAGTTTCACAGAAGGACATTTTTCTGAGATAAAATCTAAAGAAAATTCACCCTACAACAGTTGGTAGCTCAGCAGTCCCTGGAAAGTTGGATAGTTTGGCGTGTCTACCTTGAAGAGGTTTTAAGAAGAAACTCCCAAGTTCCAGACAAGACACTTTCATACCGTGCTCTTTGTTTTGCAACGGGTTGCTCTTTAAACATGTCAAATGGAAGCTGCTCCCCTTTCTACAAATAATGAAGCGTTCATTAGGTCAGGGAAATCCATGAGTGGTTAGACCACTCATTTTACTGACATCATAGTCCAATGACATTTCCTGAATATAATTATTTCTCGAGAGCAGAAGAGCTCCAAGAGATTGGAAAAAGTCATGCTAGAGCTGTCAAGAAACTGGAAGTGAGAACATTAATCTGCAGCATTAGAAAATGGGGGAGAAAAGCCCAATCGCACTTGTACATAGAAATAGAAGAGATCCAATCATATCCGACCTCCCATAATCATAAGACTATAATTTATCTAGGGTTGGTTTAAATATATAAATATTTATTTCACCTGAACTTGAAATGCTTCTAAAATCAAAGTTCTATAGAAATGAAGAAGTCATTTTCCCAGATAGCTCTAGTAAGAAAATGTAGGAATTAGTCTCTATTACTCAATAATAAGAGAATACTGAATATTGCACTCAGTTCCTGAATCCCTTTCCATAACTGCTTTATTTGTTAGTTCTAAGAAACCAAATAGGAATACTCCTCAAAAAAAAAAAAAAAAAAAAACACCACAAACAAAAAAACCAAAAAAACCCTTTAACTGCTTTCCTCTGGCGATATCTTCTTTTCTTTGGCTCTCAGAACACTGTAATTTTATAATCATATCAAATTGAGCAAAGGGACAGATTTTTCCCACAGGCATGAGCTGCTTCCCATCAGGCATTGATTTCTTTTGTTTTTTTAAATGATTACAGCTTCATGGGCAGTAAGTGCTCAGAGATTTTTTGCAAGTTTATTTTTTGGAGTTTCTCAGAAAGAAGGGGAAAGCTAAGATCAAGAAGCTAATCTCCAAACCAGCAAGCTTATGATTTAACGCTATTAGAAATCCTACAGCAGTAGCACAGGACTAAAACTATGCTTGAGTTCACTCTTCAGTAACTGCTATTCTGCTCTCAAACTTTTATTTATTAGTAGGACCCATAAGAAAGAAGGAAGCAAGAACTCTCAGATAATAATGAAGCCACAAAATAAGGTTGAAATTAAAGTTTACTTTTGGTTGCTTGCCCAATGTGATGGCAGTACAGTGACAAAACAAATGTTAAAATCACATTTTAGGCCACTAGAAAATGACAGATGAATGAGGATCTAGAAATATTTTAGTCATCATAACAGTTATCCAGCTAGTACTGATGTGCAAGTCCTTGTTTTGCACCCAAAACCTTGGTCAAACAGTAGAATGCCTGGCAGGAGTGAAGACAGCAGGAAGGGACAGTGAAGCTGATTATCTCCTTAAAGCTTTTCCTGTTGTGCTCCACATCTTCCACCTACATTGTCAGTTCACAACTGTTAAGGCCAAGTCTTGGATTTTCTAGCACATCCCAGTACTTAATGCCAACTCAGGAGTATCTATGGTGACACCAAAACCTATCCCTTATTCTTCTTGTTCTAGAAGAAAACATAACTCCAGTTGGTAGCAGTAGCGGGGGTACAAATAGTGAGTCATGCTTCTTTTTTTCTTAAAAAACTATTATTAATCATGGGAATTCCTGTCAACGAGGAGGTGATCTGTAGTCACCTAACCTACTTTTACTGGTGATTTAAGCAGCCCTCCGAAATGAACGTGTTGCACCACTTAATCAACTCAGGCTCTGCAAGCAGAAGATCCTATTAGAATCCTTAACACGCTATTACTGGCAATAAAATGCAGTGAGTTGTAAGAAGGCCAGTTAGCTTTAAATGTGACCATTTGGGCTTATCCCTCAATGGATGTTCAGAAAGCATCTATCCACCATAAATCTTCAGGAACACTGAAGAACTATTTATAACATACTGGTGTGTATTTTTATGTCAATGAAATAGGAGGAGAGTCCTACACACTGCAGTGGGAACAGTTAAGTCTGAATCACTGCTTGCAAGATAATATACTTTAAAGAAGATCAGGCAGGATTAAAAGCAACCCCTGCAAAAAGCCAGAATAGTTCAGTGTTAGATAGAGATGCTACATGTGGGCTGAAGAAGCGATGCCAGGCCCTAACCTTGTGAAGAGGAACATAAGACAGTTCTCCCATGCTTTTTATGCCAACATATGGGTTGAACTGCAGCACAGCTCCCAGCGAAAGACTTTGGGCTCCATTATCCCCGCGTCTCCATAGGCAACTGTCACTGCAGAGATCTCCACTGTATGTAAACAGTCAAATCCTGCACAGGCTTTCTGTATATTGCAAATTTTGCCATCAAGAGTCACGCAACCAATCGGGAACATTAGCAAACAAGTCTGTACAAAGGTTTCAACATACAAAGTACAATTTAAATGCCAAGCGCAGTTATTGCTGCTATTACGAGATCAGTCCCAGGATACATAAACTACATTAAATTATATTACATCAGTTTCTACAGCTACATCTAAAAAAAAAAAAAAAAGTAGTTGCTACAGATTTTTTTTTTTAAATATAACTACATGTGAAAGATTTGGTGCTTTCTCTTTCCAAATTCTTGCTGCCTGAATAGGGTTGAAATCTTTTAAGTGAAGGAAAAAAAAAAAAGAAAAAAGCCATCATATGAAGCATGTTCTCTTGTTTCATTCTGTCAGAAAGAACAGCCAAGGACATCTGCTATATGTAAGATTTCTGTTAGGAAGTCACAACAATTAGGTAGGGCATTTTTTTAAAAATGAACATGGAATTCAAACATGTGGGCTACATTCTCTACCAAAAGACAAAGACAACAAATGCAGCAGCACACAATAACCTTTGTCTCTACGTATGTTCATCCATCAGCATGTCTGAACCCTGAAAAGGGAAAAACATACCTGCAGAAATGAGGAGATTACTCTGTTTCTTTGCCTGTTCATCAGCAGATAATGTCTGCTGAGACAGCCAACAAGCTTGATACCGGTGCCAGTTTTCATGATGTGGACACCTGTCTACTAAGAACTGGACTAAGAATATCAGCTAATTTTATACAGGTCAGTGAACAATAGACAGATGGTAATGACTTCAAGCATTACTAACCTGGGCCAAATTCAAATCAGTCAACTACAGGTATCTAATACCATATCCTGTTAAGCCTTTGAGTCATCTACTCTCACCAGCTGAAGAAGACTGGACAACTGCCTGAAAAAAAAAGGATCAGCTTCACTTTACAGTGCTCACTTAAGTCCATTGCAATCTAAACAATAAATAAACTACTACATCCATTATGCCAAGAAATGGAACCTTGAAGGTACATGTGAGTTCCTAATAAGACCAGATAATCAGAGATATTTTCCTGTTCTCTAAAACCAGAAAATTGTCTTTGCTCTTCAAATGTATTCTGTGTTTATTTTCTGACTAAAGTCATTCCTCCTGCATTGACAGGAAAAGAAACTCTTCAGAAATGCTGTTCATCAGCTGAACATCACACAGCCTAGAAGGGGCAGAGAAGCCCTCTCCTACCCTTCTTAGGGGAGACGACGGCCAACATATTTCATTCCACCAAGTACTCAGCTGCGCTTTCACAGGTACAAGATCATGAGAAAGAATATGAAAAGAGGAAGGAAAGAAAAAGGAAAATGAATGAGCACAGTCCTGTTCCTTCTACTCATGAGTGTACGTGGCAACCTCTAAACAGAGAGCCACAGAGCTATCACCATTTCACTAGCTGACAGAGTCCTGCAGCTCATGCCAAACTCTACCTTGCACAAATAACAGAACCCAAGAGGATAAAGAGCTCCAGCTTCCTCCAACTGATGGGCAACCACACCACAGTGGGCCAGTAACACGCTGTGGGAGTTACTGTCAGCCTGTTTAGAGCCAACGTCAACCCGTTTTGCAGTCAATCGAAGAGCCATGGGCAGGAGGCAAGTCACACACCACCTTCTTTCTTTGGTCCAGCCATACAATTGGCCATTAAAAGCAAGATGCCAGAGAGGAAATGTTCTCTAAAAGGCACAATTCATTAAAATTAGCAGATACATGGCAGCACACTGTGATGCTCCCCTCACCAGCTTCAGTCCCTCCATTCCTTCTTACTTCCCTAAGTGCAGTCTTAAGTGTGATGAGTTACTGTATCATGAAAGTTTCAAAGACACCGTTACATTTTTTAAAGTTACAATCCAATACAGGTTTGAATCGGATCTCACGGGCCCTTACTTATGTCAAGAGCTGCTCAGGTAGAGTCTGAAACCAAGTGTTTAAAATGGCAAATCAGACCCAGGCCTTTTAGTCCAAGTGAATAATGCTCCTCCCAAAAAAGTCATCTGGACCTCTACTGTCACTTTGAAACGAATCACCAGGAGAAACGTAACAAGGGGATTTTCAGGGAAAATCCAGGTTTTCCAACTTTCTATAGTTTCCCTTTGTGTCATACACAAAATTTTTAAAAGCAGACGAAAACTGGAGTCAGTGTCTAACTAAGAATGCTTTTGCTTCAAAGTTTTCCAGCTGAATCAAAATAGCACTGTGGTAACACTCTTGAATCAAGTTTTCCAGCAGATAATGCTTTTAATTAATCACACTACAAGTGGCATCTGTAAACACCCTGTTCTTATGATTTGTTAGATTATAGGGTGGTTTTGACCAGGACATCCCCATGCATTACAAATTCCATTCTGAAATTCAGGAGAATGATAAAATGGAGCATACAGAGTAGGGAATGGAATTGACTTCATTTCCACCGCACTATTTTCAAACATCATACAGCATTACTTTATTCATTAGTCCCCAAATACTTTCCCTCTACTGAAATTCAAAACCCTTATGCATTAAAGTCTTCCTGACAGCACTTGGTTTGGGTGGTTTTTTTTTTTTTCTTTCCTACACAAAACTACCCATTCTGCTTTGTTTCATTAAATTTCTAGGTGAAATCTCTTTGCTTCTCTCTTGCTTCTTTAGATTCACTCCCCTTTGCCCCCCAAACTTAATGGGAACTTTCACTTAAATGATCTTTAATAACCTTTTCATAAATCCTTCTGGTTTTGTTTATTACACTACTGAACCTCACAGTGCTTAGTGAGTGACAGCAACTTTTCAGGGTTTTTCAATCCATTTAATAAAGTGAGTTTGTAATGCAAGGTGTCAATCAAATGACATGGGGAACTTCATTCTTCTATTAACCCTCAACATAGGCCATGCTCCTGCATAAGAAGTACCAAGACAAGCTTCCATATACTCCATTGAGGTTCAAAACCCTCCTGAAAGACCATTTCCACATTTGTAAGCATGCTCAGGCAATTTAACTTCTCCTCTGTAACTACCAAAAATTTTGCTAATTAATGATAGCACGGAGAATTTAGATCCAATTTTAGGAAATCTCCAAAAACTAACATTTTCTACTTCATTCTACATGCAAAAAATCTTCATGAATTGTTATTTGTGGCAACTCTGAAAGATGCCAGCAAAATTCAGAATTTGGCTACCTCCCCATGTCTGATTTTAAACATCATTTGCACCAGAATTAGAAATGTTTTCATTGATTTGAAGTTTAAAATCAGCAGTCAGACCTCTGTGCGGCTTTTTGTTCTTAAAATAAAACCTTCGTTTCTTTTCGAGCCACGTGAAAACTAGATGGTGAATCAGCTTCAAGAATAAAACGAAAATAAATATTCTGCTGTTCATCAGAAAGTGACGTAGCTTTAACATTACCAAAACACACTATACTTTCCATCTCTAAATATTCCCATTCCCTCTGACATTTTGTTTGCTATGCTATAAACTAGTGAGTGACCCACTTTTAAGATGCAAGTCCCATTTGTCATAAAGATTTATCAGAAAAAACAATCCAAAATATAGGGAAAACTTGATTTGGATACTGTATATTTTAATAACTAATCCAGAGTTATTATTCTAAGTTATGTCAAAAAGTCAAATCTGACCAACTGCAGAAATTTCTTTCTTTGGTTGGTTTTGGTTTGTGGTTTTTTAAAAGCTGTTCTTGTCAAATCAGGTGAAGATAACTTTTGCTCTAAGGAGCTAAGGAGGCAGGCATCATTTTCAAAAATAAAGCATTTCTTTTCCCCATGTGTTACTTAGAAGTTCAAAACTCAAAGATAACTAGTTTAGATGTTATAAGGAAGAAAAAGCAAGAAGCAATATAATATCCATTTTGTGAAATATTCACCCAGAAGTGAAATCTGAGTGTTTTTTCCTCCCTCTATCATTTACTTCAATATTGCCAGTATGAAAGTTCAAGGAGATGCAACGAACTTTTTCTCCTTGATAGCATTTTTCTGAAAGTCTGCAACACTTACTGGGGAAAAAGATCTACTCTTGCAAAATATCTTGCAAAGGACAACTGTATTAAAATAAAAATCAACATAAACTGTATGTCATATTACATATTTAGTAGTTGTTTAATTTTGGAATTCTGATAATGCTCATAAAGCATCTTTGCTAGATGACTAATTAGTTGGCATTCAACCTAAAATGATGCCAAACATAGCACATCTCTTGTACGCGTGCAGAAGTGTCTGTAACCTCTCTGCAGAGATGAAATTGCAAAAGGCTACTGGTTCCCAATGATTCCTCTGGGTGCTAATAAATTTAGCTTCCTTCTCACTTAATGTGTAAGCTAACTTACAGAAGGCCTCATTTATTCCATACACTCAACATCACAAAGGAGTGATCAACGATGCCAGGTGTTGTCCTTTAACAATCACGATCGTGCATGTGAGCACTGTATATGGCATGTGGGGAACGTGTTGGCATACATGTCAGTGTAGACGGATCACGTGTATGAAGAAAGTACTTTCAGAGGAGGAAGAAAGTATTTTGCAACATAAACCTACGCAAGGATCTCATTCAGTCCTGTACAGAAAGCAGCCTATAAAACACTCATTATAGCTTTTTGCATCATGAGAAGAACCGTAGCATTTCTTTTTAATTTTTTTTTTTACTTTCAAATCTGTATTTTTAATATCTTCACTCCAGATTACAAAATAAACTTCTATTTCATCCTGATCCAAATGATTTTTGGTTCCAAGTCCCCACACAGCAACATCAAAACCAATAAAGAACAGCAAGTCTGGCTGCTTGTTCAGCAGCACAAAACTGCATCTTAACAGCCTGGCGCACGAACGGGGCACGAAGCCTCCACACGCAGAGCACAGGTGAAGGCAAATTCCAGACTTCTTCACTTCTAATTCCTACACAGCCATTAAGTCTACTACTTCCAAATCAACGCTGGAATTCGAGCAACTGTGGTAAAGAACTGGTGTACTCAGGCATCTGAGCTCTGCTTTTCCCTAACTAAGGGAACAGAACCCATCCAAGACCTGACCTCTTAGGCTGGTAAAAGTACACTTGTTTCTATTAGGACTCGATCCGTGGCACTTAGGGGTCAAAAACTGCCAAGAACCAGAAGAACCTGGAGGTCAGACAGGTCCCTCCACCCTCATCAAGCCAACGCACACCGGCTTCAGGGCTTCCCC